AATCTAGATTTTCTTTCCAACAAATAAGTCATATACAATACGGGCTTGATTAAATGAGATATGTTATCACCGAAGAAGAAAGAAGAAAAAAGAAATAAATCGTAGAGCTAAAGCTATTTAATAAAATTAAAAGTTCAAAGATTCAAGTTAAAAAAACAAAGTTCTGTCTAAAAGTCTTAAACAACTTATAAATCTTTTCTTTTTGTATCATAAAAAACAAATGGTTCGTTCTTAAACTTTTGTGTCAACATTATAGATTTTTAAAGGAAAGGGAACTGCATTGACGTTGTCACATGTTATAACATCTGGGTTATGCAACATGTATAATTTCTTTGAAAGTTCAAAATTCCATTTCTTTATGTCAAAGCTTCTTTGCTATATTTGCATTCATTTATCAATATATTTTTTTATTACAAATACAAAGTATTTCAATAAATTTAATCATAGATGGTTATTATAATAATATTTTCAAAGATATTTTCTGAGTAAATCAACAAATCTTGGACATACTATAATATAAAGAATATATTACAGCACTGACAATATCTCTGATCACGAAGAATATTTCCACTAACTTACCTATTTACCTTAACCCCTAAGTGTTACAATATAAATTAAAGGATCTAAATTATTTTAAAGTTTTACTGATAGTCATATTCAAAAATGAGTAAGGTTCTGAATAAAAAATATTGTGTTTTTCTCCTTTAAAATATACCTGTTATAATGATTCTATCTAGTTTTCAAAATCTATCAAGTACATTATTGATTTTTATTTTCACTTCTTGTCGTCTTTTGACGGTTCTTGTCCACAGGGACCCAGCACAGTGTTGGGATAGTTCTAGCAATAAATGTGCATGTTGTATATATAATATATAGACAAGTGGTTGAACTCGCCTAATCCGCCGTGTGCCACTTGTCCAGTATAAGTCAAAATTGCAAAGTCATTTTTACGTAAATCATATAAAGCTATATATCGAATTGAAGCTTAATGACATCACCACTAGACGTTAACAATGACATAATTGTCCCCACTCAAACTGTTTTTAAACAACAAACTCGATTTTCTACGTTTGTGCATTGAACTACTTTTCGGCTCAAAAATTCATCTCTTTGGCTAATACTTTGGAAATTGCTGAAGGTAGATATCACAACCTTCTGCTTTAAATAAAACCGTTCAGGGCATGGGTGGTGACGAAAAGTTGTAGCGAAAGTTACCATTGTACTTTAACAGGCGGATGTGCCGTCATTAAACAAATATGCTACACACGCATAAAAGTACGTAAATACATACATTCATTCTGAGGAGACGGATTGGATATAAGCAAATGGTTGCTGATCCTAAGTTTGTGGTAAAAATATTGGCATTGTAAGAAGCCTGAGGAAAGTAAAAACTCGAAAGGGTACACTGCTACTGGCTAAGATTAAAATGCTTTATCTTTTTTCTTTGACAATCTAATACTAAGGAAGAAGTAACCGATTTTGAGTTAACCAGAAAAAGAGATAGTTTTGTATAATTACTGTTGCCAAAAAAGGCCAAGTGTTCTAACCATTCGTGGCTGTAGCCATCCCGCAAACCAAATCGGCCACACATGTAAGCATTTATTAAATCTCCAAACAATGTTCAAGTAATTCAGTATCATCAAAAAGATCTTACGTATTCTTGGCCGGATACATGTGAATTAATAAAGACATGTTTATTTAAGAAATTGCCTTAAGGTCTTAATCAGAAAGTATTTTAACCAACTAATTAAAAAGATTCACCAGAAGTTAACTAAATACTAAGACACTATAATTTGTTTTCAATCTTTAGTTCATCATTTTTGTATTAAAAAGTGATATTTTGATCTATTCTCCCCTTTTCCTAAAAACAATTAATTTCGACCTTTTGTTATTAACAGTGACTTTCCATAAATCGCAATTCATCAGCTAAACATTCAATAAATCTTATATTTAGACTTTACACCTCAGTGTATCTCCTTTAAGTGTTAAGAGGATATATAAATAGATAAAGTAATTTATAAGAGGAATTCACGTGTGAAAATTAAGGGGCCTCCGTGGCCGAGTGGTTAAGGTCGCTGACTTGAGATCACAGGTCCCTCACCGCTGTAGGTTCGATCCTCACTCGAAATCTTTCATGTGAGGAAGCCATCCAGCTGGCTTACGGAAGGTCGGTGGTTCTACCCAGGTGCCCGCTCGTGCCTGAAATAATGCCCGGAGGGCACCTGGGGTCTTCCTCCACCAATAAAGCTGGAAAAAAATCGACGAAAAAATCTCGGCGGGACGCTCTAGGATGGCCCGACTTGAGTGTACGGTCGCCCATATGGGTTTCCGGCGGCGACCTTAAATAAACGCATTAAAAAAAAAAGAAAAAAAAGAAAATTAAACATAATCCACTGATTATTATGATACCTTATATCATCATTTTCAAATAATCTGATAAAAAAAAAAATATAATACGAGCATTTACGTATTATGATAATGAGCCATGGCAAAAAATCGTTAGTTCAAATTATGAAACATCCGACTTATCAGTATCGCCGTTTCATAAGCATTTCTTAGATATTTCTATGTTTCAAACATCAAATACCAGGGTGCATATTATGACATTCAACATTTAGTTCTGTCAATTCCATCACATAAAAAAGAATGTAAAATTTATAGAAAATACCTCGACACAAATGCTTACTCTCAATAATAAATACCCACATTACAATGTAGTTATTTTGTACAAGATCTTGGAACTTTGCACGTGACTTAAACCTTAAACAAAGAAGGTTTGAATCATGCGCACAGCGGTGAATATTTGTGCCAAGTTATAATAATCCCTCCTTGTATAAAGTTTCATTAAGGTCAAGTGTAGAGTTTCGCTCTGTCCTCTAGGTATGACCTTGGCCTTTGACCTAGAGACCTTATTTATGTGCGTAACACATGTGAAGTAATATAAAGATCAATCAGCATGTGGAGAATATGCTCTAGAAAATTATGGACATTTCATCATCTGTGTTGAAATGATGATGCATACATTGACCTTCATAATGCTTGTTGAAAAACTTTACATCTTATTTCATATAATTTTATATACCGACAATCCCTCAAAACTACAAAATTGTCAATACACACAGTTTCTGTTTTGTTTGACTTAAGACCTGTAGATGCATGCAAATTTATAAGCTCTGGGCATTCTTGTTTTATACAAAAGAATATATGTCATCAGTCTACTTAAGGCATGTGACCACAGAAAATGACTAAGTTTGACCTCAAGATAATTGTAAGTGAAAACTTGATGCTATGCCTTTTGCCACAGGGACCTAAAGTTAAGGCACATCACTCTGCCATGCAATAGTGAACATTTAGCCGTGTTACATTAGCCTTGCTCCGAACAAATATTTTCCTCTAACTGTAAGCGTGACCTTGCACATTGACACAAAAATCTTGTTCATGCGCATGATACTTTGCCTAATGGTGGTGATCATTTGTATAAATCTATATTAAAATCCATACATGCATTCATATGCTCCAAAACACGTGGACATTTCATAATATCTTATGACTTGACCAAGATTATGCTGGTCAAGCTCATTACTGATATTCTTCTTTATTTCAATACTACCGAATTGTTCAAATATTTTTATTTGACTTTTGAGTTCTAAAATGATAGTAGCCCTGGCTGCAGGGATATACATTATGCGCGAGACACCGTCTTAAAATAATGATCTTGTGTACCAATTTATATAAAAATCCCTCAATTTATGTTTTGCTCAAGCTGTTTTTGCCACTAAGTATTACGCAAGGACAACATCGTGTAGTGGTGGTTAGTTATCTTTTTTCAAATCCGGATACTGCCTGGTCACAGCCTGATGTATAATAACCATTCTGAAAAAGAGCAAATCGCTTGTTCTTCTAGCAAAAAAGGTATGTAATACGTTGTCTCTACTGAAATTAGTTATTCGATAGCAATACCAGTTTTAAATTGATAACAAAGAAATGTAAGACTTATGTAGCAGCTTTATTTATTATTATTGTTTACACAAATCAACATGCGCCATAACAGATAAAGAAGAAAACAAACTTTTACACAAAAAATAAAACGGAACACGAATGCTTGCTATACAAGTTTCTGGTTAATTATTATTGTAATATCTTGATTAGCATAAAATAATGAAAATACTGTAGTACAACTGATAAACAAGAGGACGGCTAAAACGGGACAATATACGCAATATACAAATGAAAATTTGTTTGAGTAAATAAAATAATATTTCAATTAGGAAAGAGACCCGTTCACAAAATTCGATTCAAAAATGTGTCATCCTTATTATCCTAATGACCTCAGGATGGGAGCATTTTTGATCCTAGTGCAGAATTTATATAACTTGTGTAGCGGTCTACTTGGCAATGATACATGCGAATTTATAAGCTCTGAACATTCTTGTTTTCTCATCAGTCTACATAAGGCATTTGGCCACAGGGAAGGACTTATTTTGACCCCCGGATTAATGTAACAACTTGATGCTACATGCCAAATATCTTCGCTCTTGGTATTGTAATTTCATATAAAAAGACTTAAATCCATTTGGTTTCCTGTAAGGGTCTATATAAACCAAGTGACCCCAGGGGAGAGGCCAATATTGGGACATGGCAATGCTTTACACCAAATATCTTACATCTTGCATTGAAGTTCCACACATAAGTCTTAAATATCTTTTTCCTATACAAGTCTATATAAATAAAATGATACATGTGAACTAATAAAGATATGTTCACAAATATTAATACTAATTGACTCATGAGGCATAATTATTATTACTTTTGTACATTTTACTGTGATATAATTAAAACTTCATTATTTTTCTATACAAGACATAAATGAAACTAACAAATAAAATACAGCTAGAAATTCAGACATTTTATGCAATATACATGTCAAGTAATCACTGAAATTTTTAATGATACAGTTTAATATTTTTCGTATTTAAAACATCTACAATCTATATGACATTAAATATGAGTAATCAAAACAACTATTCATTTTGATAAACAAATCATTTTATTGTTACCAATACTGAGTAAAGAATTAATGTAAAGGTTCGCATATGAATCATATATCAATTACCTGTACATCTTCAGTTTGCATGCCTTGAAAACGCACGCACGCACGCACACACACAATTTTGCTCATAACAAAAGTTTGCTCATACGCATGCTTTTTTATATTGTTTCAAATATTTTTAAAATAAACATACAAAATATTAAGAAAGAATATTTGTTTCCATCTCTACAATATTTATTTAACTCTTTATGTTTTACCTATTTTCAACGACAAAGTTCGGGACCTGACTTGGTGGTTTTTTAATAGCAACATTCATTTTTCTCCAAAACAAGTCATGACCAGCGACGTCATTTTCCTCAACAAACTCGATGTATTTGTGCATTTCAAGCCATTTCCAAACACTGTTGGGTATTTTCTTCTTTTCAAGACCACCCTTAATGACAAGTATTAAGTAATTGCGATCACGCCGAAATATACCCGAATGTGCAAAACACTCAAACAGGAAAACATTTATGGGGTCCTCAATGTAATCATTGGTAAGTATGACAATGGCTTTCTCGCTGTCCTCTATTGCACTCTCATAAGATGTTATGAAAGGTCCTGGCTTACAATCTTCTTTCATACACATTTTATATTCATTTTGATTACCCGTTAATCTGTTTACAATTGTTTCAACAAACTCTTTTTGACTTTCGGCGCAAGCAATAAATGCTTTGTAAGTATGTATAGATTGATATTGTTTATTTTTCTTATTACATGTATATGTACTAATGTATTGATTGAACTGGAACCAGAGTCGCCGACAAGTCCATCTCTTAAAATATATTATTACAGCTACAAAGATGAGGAAAAGAACAACGCCAGTTACTATAAGTATTGTGTAAATATCATGACATTTAAAGGACATATGACTAACCTTCGATTCAAACTCATTTAATGACAAAGGTAAGTCATTTTCATCAACAAAATTGTATGACTCAAATCCAATCATATTGTTTTTGTGCTTTAAAAGCCATTTAAAAAAATCTTCCCTGTTACACGCATATCTTAAAGTATTATTACGAAGATCAATAGTAAATGTAGATTTACGTCGCTCAGATGCACTTGTAAGTTGATTTAGAAGTTTTTCGGGAAGGACTCCAATCGAGTTATATCTAAGATTTATATAAGACAAATTATGTAACCCCGTGGTATCAATTGTCCAAGTCTCTATATTATTCATGCTTAAATCAATTGCTTCTAAATTGACATTATTTGCAAGGAAATCTGGAGGCAAATATGTAATTCTATTTAGAGACATGTTTAAAATTTTAAGGTTACTAAGGTGATTCATGATATAACTTGTCTTATCGTCATGGTTCAAAGAATACCCTATGAAATTTCTATCTATAAGTAATGTTTCAACTGAAGGAAATGACAGAAAAAATGTTGGATTAATGTCATAACAATAATTTCTGGACAAATCTAAATATTCTACTTGATTAAAAGGACCAATAGGTCCCTTCCATGAATAAAGTGTATTTCCTGACAAATCCAGATGCTTCAAATAATTATCATTTGGAAAAATCGGCAATTGCTCTAATTCAAACTTCATATTACAATCATTGAACAACAATAATTCTAGATGCCTTGGAAGTGTTGGAATAGGAAAAATTGGAAAAGATTCGGAAGAATTAAAAAAAGTACATATGTCAATTGAGTCACTTGCATTCCTCAAATATTCTGGCTTCATATAAGGACAATCGTTTACGTAAGTAAAACTGTTATTTACATGCGATGATTGCACTTCCATGCTTGGTCTATGTAACTTGTTCTGGAAGCTGCCATAAAATTCAGCCACGTTTTTCAGACATCCAAGTTGCAACAGATAAAGTCCGAATGAAAAAATATTGTCGTTTAAGCTAACCGTTTTCAGCGATGTTGGCAATAGAATTAATGCATTTGTTTCTATCATTTCAATCCGATTACTGTCAATAACAAGCTCTACAAGAGATGTATTGTGCAAAAAACATATATCGTTCATCCGTATTTCTGTTCCTAACCCAAAAGTTGGATTTGCGTGTGAATAGTTTAATGATTTGATATTTGTAAATTGTAGACTATATGATATGTTACTCAGCAACGGAAATCCCATTTTAATGTTATATGAAATGTCCAAAACTTCTAGACTTCCAAGTTCTTTGAAAGTTTCGGCTGCAATTGTGTTGATGTCACAAAACGAAATATTCAGATATATAAGATGAACAAGGTTTCTGAAAGATTCTTCTGATAAGCGATTGAATGAGCAATATCCATTAAATCCAGATACAGAAAGAAACTTTAAACTAGTTAGATTCAAAAATCCTTTGTGAAATGGAGCACCTGGAATTCCATCTATATACATTGTTTCAAGACCATTACTGCCAACAAAATCTGGATAAAATCTACGAGCTGTCTGCTGTTTGGTGTTTCCGTTCAACTTTAGTGTTTTTAGCTTTGGTGGAAGCATGAATTTGTATCCATCTACAAAAATGTCTATATCGTTAAAACTAAGGTCCAGATGGTCAAGATTATGGAACAATGCAAATATCCCTTCATCAAGATGCGTAATTGCATTCCTTGTTAAAATAAGAACACTTAAAAATTCACAACCTGTCAGATTTGATCTAAAAAGGTTCGGTATATCGAAACCCGTCGCTTCAAGTGATATTATATTGCTGTTTCTGACATAGGAACAAATTTCACTCAAATCTGTTCCTGTTCTATTGTTACACGTCATTGAAATAGACAGGTCTACTGGTGAACATTCACAAGATCTGTTCGGTCCACATTCTTTTATGCCCGAGCAACACCCATAACGTATCATGGTCAATAATAACAAAAAACGTTCCATTGTCACTATGCATCAATCAAGATGAAAACGTTATTTTAAATTATCAAACCTTTTAAACAATTTGTGTACTCATCAACGGTCGGTCTTCAGACAATTGTATGACAAGAAGTTGACTGAAATGATTATCTAATAATATCTTATCAATGTCATGCAGTTGTGATAGTGTTTGATACAAGGGACAATCTTAAATTAGCACGCAAATGTCATAGGCATTTTATATATTTGTTAGGTTCTACGTAGCACAAACACTGTAAAGGTAATATGGCGACTTCACTCATTTACCTGTGCAGGGAGACCACCGGTGCATTATTCAAGTGGCACCTAAGTAGAACCACCGACGTTCCGTAAGCAAGCTTAATAGCTTCTTCACATTGAAAAGAATCCAACGTCTTTAGCGGTATTCGATCTTATAGCTATGAGAGTCATATGACGCCCCAAATTTCATAGATATTTAAGGGATTTAATCTAAATTTATTTAACATGTATATTCAGAGTGACACAGATAAATAATAATAAAGTAATTCTTGCTTTTGACCAACACACAATAGATTGTTCCACTTAGCATTTTCTGTCTTCTTTACAACTGGCCCTCCGCACAATGTTCTTAATACGTTTTGAAAGCGTTTAATATGTGTCTCTTATTTCCCAGTCCATTGCAGCGAATACATGATCCAAATCGTTTCAGCTCATTCCTAAGAATATTCCCATTAGTACAAAACGTAGTATCAATTGGTCAGTATAGAAAGAAAACGGGGCTAAATAATCAAAGTTTAAATCTACTACATGTAATGTATTTTGTAGCATGAGCTTTGAAACAGGTACTGTGATCAAATATTTGATTTTAATAAGAAACATTATAAATGTCATGTCGGCTAAAGAGCTATAGATTACACATTACATTACATTTGAATATATTACATTGCATTTGAATACTATTTTTTGCAATCGAATCACTATTACTAAATGCGAAATGCTGTAATGAACTTCCTGGGTTTTATGGTGTCCATAGTGATGTGCAATCAAGGTCAGATTTTAAAACATTTAAGATAATGACCTTTCTCATGTATAATTTATAACTTTGGCGTTGCATAATGATAATTTTTATCAAATTACGTTCAAACACGTCATGCATTTAATCAAAATTTCTCATACTGAAATTGATATAGTGTACCATATCATTAATATCTATGATGTATGTTTACTTTTCACACGCAAATTCTTCTTATCAGCTTGCAAGCTTCTTGATTATATCACAATTTACTAAAACAACAACAACAACAACAACAACAATTTATTTCAGCATTAAGTAATATACATTTACTTTTAGCCTACAATAATATAATCATGTGTAGTGATAGGTCATATAATGATTACAGTTAGTGTTATTATTTAAACAAAGGTGCTTTTGATTAGTTACACGAGATTCTTGGTTCATTTTAAATAGATGATTACTACTGTTCTAATTCTGTTCTCCGTTTGTTAGCAAAATATAGATATTTAGATAAATTGATAATTTCTTTCTTGTTTTGAGACATCATTAACTTATCTTTTTGCAATGTTGGCCATGTAAAATAATAAGGCTTCAAAAATTTGTGTCTTAAATCTATATATATCGGGCAAGTAAGTAGAAAATGGTACTCATTTTCAATGAGTAAAGAACGACAAAATTTGCAAGTTCTTTCTAATCTTGGGATATTATAGTATCTTCCCCTCTCAATTTCAAGATTGTGTGATGATAGACGAAATCTACTAAGAGCAATTTTGAAACGTCTTTCTAAACTGTAATAATCAAGATAAGGTTCGATCGAAAATGAATATTTTGTCCTACAATATGTTAAAAGTCTTTGAGAGTTATTTATTTCTGAAAACCAGGTTTGATGATATTGGTCTAATATTCTTTGTTTTATAAATTCAAAAACAGGAATATGTTGATATTTATGTAAATCCTTCCATATATCTGAAAGACCCAGTCTGTTTAATATTGTTTTAATTTGATATGCCCAGTTTTGGCCATTATAAGTTATATTGTTATCTGCATCTAGTTTTAGCATATTATACATTTGTTTTATTAGTTTGTTGTCTTCTAATTTTTGAATTTTTAACCAATACCTAATCATGTTTATTTGTCTTACAATTTTCATTGGTTCTCTACCAAGTTCTCCATATAATCCTGTCAGATTTGTTGATATATTAACAACTAGGATTTTTTCTTGCAAAATTTAGTGTGAATCTTTTCAATATCACTACCTTCAATATTTCCCCATACCTCCGAACAGTAATTAAGAATTGATGCTACTAATGAATCAAATAATTAACATTTTTCACTAGTTTTGAATTCATATTGATGAAGAATAGCAAACAATCTATAAAGTGCTTTCGATGCATGTTCTGCTATGCTTTTTGTGTTCGTGACCAGTTTCCATTTTTAAAAAGGTATATTCCCAAATATTTAAAAGACGTTACTATTTCAAGTTTTTTGCCATAAAGATGAAAATCAAAATGTGTAGGTCTGCCTCTTTCGAAAATCATAACTTTGGTTATATCTATGTTTATTTTAAGTCCAAAGGTATTACAGTATATTTCGATGTCCTTAAGCATGCTTTGTAAGGTGTCGGGATTTGTAGCAAATAATCAGCATATAAAATCAAAAATAGACTAAGCTCATTTAAGGTGAAAATTCCATCAAGGTCTGCATTTATATTACTCATTAGATCATTTACGAACATCATGAACAATAGAGGAGAACTGGGGTCTCCCTGCTTAACGCCTTGATGAGAGTTTATAACATCATTATGTACTACCCCATTATATTTAATAGATGCTCGTACTACAGTGTACATTGCTTTTATAGCTTTTACCATTTTAGTACTCACATTTTCTGTTATAAGTTTTTGCCAAAGAAAAGAACGATTAATTCTGTCGAAACATTTTTCATAATCAATAAATATGGAGTACAGTTTTTTACCCGAATATATGACTTTTGAAATAATTGAGTGTAAAAGGAATATACAATCAACTGTGCTCTTACCCTTTTGGAAGCCAAATTGACTATTTACAAGTTTTTCGTGTTTTTCAGTCCATATTGTTAGCCGATTAAGTAGAACCTGAGAATAAATCTTAGATAAAATATTGTTAAGTGTTATACCACGGTAATTTTTTGCTAGTTTTAGGTCACCCCCTTTAAATATTGGAAAAATATATCCTTCTCCCCAGATTTCCGGGTATTGTCCATTTTTAAATATTGACAAAAGAAAAGGAGAAATTACACTGTATGAAGATTTAATAATTTTTGCCGACACACCGTCCGGTCCGGTAGCTTTAAAATAATTTTGTTTAAATACAGCTTTATAAATTTCATTTTCAGATATCGGCGAATCTAAATCTTCATCATGTATATTTTCAAATGTTTCATCATTAACAGAGTAAGTTTCCTCAACATTTTCATCAAACAATGTAGAAAAATGTTCATGAAGATTTTCTATTCCTATATCATTATTTTTGGTGTTCTTTTTAAAACATTTTTTGATAAATTTCCAAAATTTTCTGGGCTCGATGCATACAATATTTTCAAGCTTTTTACCTTCTTGTAATTTATGCTTATATTTTGCCTTTGATTTAATCTTATTGTATTTAGTGCGCATTTTTACAAAATTATGTCTGTTTTCTTGATTATTGTTTTTAACAAATAAATTTCTAGCTTTTTTGAACTCCCTTTTTATGGAATAGCATTCGTCATCAAACCATTTTGGTTTATTTAAATGATGTCTTATATTTACATTTGAAAAAGATATATTTTTACCGAATATTTCCATGGCATTTTTATATAAAATGTCAGTTAAACAAATAACCCGGTCATTTACAGAATTTGAACGACTATTATCAGTCTTAAACTTATTTACATCATAATGTCAATTAAATTTCCAGTTCTGCTATTTAAATCCCCTGTTACGTATGTTTTGCCAATTTCATTATATTTTTCTATCCCTTTTTCAATTTCCTCATAAAAATCAAAATCTTTATCGTAAAAAAATCTTTGAACAAATAGGTGGAATGTAAACAAGACAAAAATATACATCTTCAAAAAAGTAAAACATATCATGATTAATTTTCAACCAAATAATTCCAGATTGATTACTTTCTGCAATAGATATCTTAGAGTAAAGTTCGTCACAGAAGTAAACTGACAACCCGCCACTGTATCTTCCTTTCTTTTTTTCCTGTAGATTTATTTCCGTGTAAATGAAAAGAACTATATCCATTAATTTCTAAGTTAATTGTATGGGATTTACTTATCCATGTTTCACTGAGAAGAAGTATGTAACTTAACGTAATTAATGAATTCTTCGTCTTGTAATTTGCGAATCAGACCGTTTACATTCCACGATATGAATCGAAGCTCCTGTTTGGCCTAACTAGAAAGTTCATGAAAAGGCCCACTATCTCCATCTCGAACTAGTAATCGGGCTCCTGCCCACTTAACAGATTTCCCAGCTGCTTTCTCTCGTTCTAGAACTGGAAACAATTCTTTCCGTTTTGCGAAGAATTGCTTTGGTTTGTTGAACTCCCAATTCCCCTGTCCATGGCCTTCAATACGTGGTATTTGCTCTGCGCAGTGGTTCGAATTAATTCGCGTGTTTGGGGTGTTGAAATTTTTGCAAACAATCGGGCGTATTCCAGACGCTTTCTTTTGCCCTATTCTATGAGCACGAGCAATATCAATGGAGTCTTTAATGTTCAAGGCAGTATCTATTAAATTCAACACAAGTGCTTCACAATCCTCCTTTTCAGTTTACTCACTCTAATGATTATGAATTTTTCTGTACTAGCAAATGCTGTTGCGATAGTCTTATTTTGAGAAAAAAATTATTATATAATTATCTCTTAAAATTCTCAGCTATATCACTGACTTGCAAAACCAAATTTATATTCATATTATCATGCCTGCCAATAAATAAGATTTATTGAAACCGCCAAATCGGATCATCAAGGCTATCATCAATAATAACCTCGGACTTAATAAGGATTGAAAGTAGTTCTGCCACGTTGTTCTAAATTTGAGGGTGTAATCTTTGATATTGTATGACGAATGTATATATCCCAAAGAAATAAATACATTCCAAAGAAAATAAAGCGCATTTTGGTAAAATAATGATTATACATATGTCTGACAATCATAATCGATTTAAACATGCTTACTGATGTACAATTACAACTATCAATATTGCATTTTATTACAAAATTTATAAAGTCTAACTTAAAAACTGCGACAGTCCGAAGTAAAAACAAGTACGTCTAATAGGGACACCTACATGTAGAATAGAAATTGTCCATCAATATCAATATGCTCATAATTTAATGTCTATGTTTACAAAATGGTCTCTTTTCTTAGCTACAAGAAATTATTATGTCATTGTTATGCAAGCATTACTAACATTTCTATGCACTGAAAACTTAGAACTAAAGCGTACTCGTCCTATCACAGTTAAACACGAGTACTACGGACGTAATGAACTTTCTGTGCCTTAACGCTTCCCCTTTAATTTCAATTTTCACAACTACGCAGATCTAAACGACTCTTTTCAAAGTTTGCAGTGCACATAACCTCTCTTGTGATTTTAAAAGTCGCTAAAAATATCACGGTGTTTGTTTGCGTTTGTGGCCACAACTCACAAGATAGCCCCCTCCTTAAAAAGCTCAGTTCATTGTTACAATGTATTAAAGAAACACATAACTCTGATAACAACTGTGTGAGATAGGAATATTATCCAGGCAACATTTATAGTTAACATGTCATCTGATGTTCATATACATTGTATATACAAATTTTATAGATGTCAGAAAGCGAAAGAATTTCGTATGTTACGACGAGCACTGGCTGCTTTACAAACAAATAACGAAATTTATATAAAAAAGTAATTAGATAATTACATATAGAACAGATGTGAAATCTCTATTGGCAGTTCAGATAGCCTAAATGTTGTACATATAAATAGCTTTGACATGGAAGATAGGTCTATAAAATATACAACACAATTTTGCACATCACAGTAATTACATACATGTATACATATTCAGTATTTATATATGGCAAATAAAATCTTAGTTAAGTATAACACATATTGATTTTCCTCACTCTATTTTGTATTTTTAAGAGCTCGTCGATAGTGATATTTTCTAATGCAGTTTTGTTTCTTTTAAACTGGTAAAGTATCTTCGCAAGATGATTTAGATGATTCTGGGTCCGTGTCGTTTGATTCTAGCCAAGATCTTGCGTAGTCATCGGCATTTGTTTCTGCACGATATTCATCTGAAATTACAGCAGACGAGATACTAACAACGTAAACATTGCCAAAAAGAAAAAAAGGAAAAAAAAGGAAAAGAAAGGAAGACAAATATTACGCATGCTTTAATCTTTTAAGTCTTTCAACTAAAGTTTTGTTAAAGATTTGCTTTCACGAATGTTTGGATAAATGACTCTATTATTTCAATGTTGTTTTCTTCTATGTTATATAATTATACATTTTGAATGTTTAAATTGAATTACATATACATCTATAGAATGTTTTTATTTATAAAGATCATTGAAAATTAATATCCATTTCTTTACCAGGAATGCAGCATTATATTTAATTAAAGAAATTAAATAGTAAAGAAGAACTTTTAAAGTATCTGTGACAGTTGATCTTTAACATTGAGTCTAATAGACATTTGTCTCCGGCCGCTGAATCAAACATCATGTAGTCGGTCACGTGCGCAGAAACTGGTAATCTAGGGAAGCTTGTTAGGTGGGTTGACTTAAAATTTGTTAAGATCGACGTAAAAAACAAACAAGCAAACAATATCCAGAATACAAACTAATCGTTACTGCATAAAGATAAACAGAACGAAAATACCTAATCCCAATAACACTTCTGCTCATACAGACAACACGAGAACTTACCTAAAGATGTCGTGCTAAATGAATCCTACAAGACAAACAAATGAACCTATAGTTACAGAAAAATATTGCAATAATATGTGATATCTAAACTGTCTTAAATCAGTGGTATGTTGACTGATTATCCATTTCATTGTCACGACAGTGAATACTTGACAAATGTTTCGTCTAGCATACGAAAACATCAAAATAGCAAAAAGTTATAGTTTTGCTTTCTTTTCAAAGAAATAACAACAATCGTACAGTTAAATATTTAAAAAAAACATTATGCCTCAGAAATTCACATTATTGATATAGAAGTTTTAGTAATGGACTAAATATATAATGTATATACTTTTAGACAAATGAAAACTACTGCTTTATTGTGTCGTAAAGGTAGTGAAATGTAAACAAAGTTATTATTTTGACTTTCATACAAAGTACTAATTCGCTAAATATACCATTTGTAAACAGAGAAAAATAAGTAAAAAATCTTTATGTATATGGCAAATGAGTTTATTTTGGAAACTATGACAAGATACCAAAGCTAGAACGTTTCCATTAATATTATCTTATGCAGACACTTTCTTTCATTACCTTTTCTGCACTGACAAAGCTAACAATTTCAAGGGTCTGTTGCAGTCCTGCCCCGAATGTTTCTAAAATCGTCTCTATAGAAACAAGAAGGAAGTGTCGGTTATCATCCTCAAAATGACATACATACATCCCGACGCAGTGTAACATATCATCTTCGTCTGCTATGAAAACAGCCGCCCCACCTTCTTCCTGTTTTATAAGTCCATATTCAGGCGTTCTAAGACGAATAAGACCCCGCTTTTTATCTAGCATGATTTTAGCTTTTGCTGTTCGTGTTTGATTCCCAAAAACATATACTTGTGTTTCCTCCCAGGAATTCCTGTTATCGTAGTATGGAAAATTTATAGGGCTTATCCCTGCAACACAAAAAGTACGTTTTTATTTGTTGTGTTTTCAATAAATCAATATTTGGAAAGGTCATATTAATATGTGTTTAATGTATGTCAGTAAAGGTAAGAATAAAAAAAATATTCAGGAAAAAAAGAAAAACATACATTTCCTTATATAAATGATAAATATAAATATTGCAATCGCTTCTCTTATAGGAAAATATTCTTTTGATAATAAATATTTTATCACTCAAAAACAGTTCCTATACACCAAAACCCCACACCAGTGTTTAATGGGCGATAAACAATACAAAGACCGATATTATTTCTAAAATATAATATAGTAACACCGCTTATATTCATTTACCAGACACTAATGTTAAAATGAATACAAATGAAGAAATTATATAACCTGCAAAAATAAACCTCCCTCCTTTCATATAACTGTCTACCTCTTCCATGATACTTTGATTGATCTGTATTAAAGCTACCATCGTGGGTTTATCGCTTGTACCTTTTGTTTCTACGTTACCGATAGAACGACCTTCAAGCCTTGACCCTGACCTATATAGCTGCAAAACGTTGGCATCATTGACGATGTTCTGATAGTTTAGTCTTTGACAGACGACATGACTGGCTGTGACGAAGTAACATCTTTCATTCATTTTAACAAAAGGTCCAACTACACCTAGCATACAAGGATAAATGCCAAGTTTTGGAATTACTGAACTTCCCATTCTAAATTGACGAACCATACCTATAATACATTAATAATTCGAGTTATTCAGGAGTCGCATTTAGGACATGCTTCGAATATATCTATATAAAATATTATAAAATATGAAACACTTTCAGATCTAGACAAAAATGTTTTGTTTACAATACGGCATCATCTCTTAAATTCGGGGTCTAGCGGGGTTTTTTTTTAAACAAAAAAATCGTTCCACTCACACAACTATAGCTTTAAATCCTGAAATTTACTTATATTTCTTAAATGCGAGCTGGCTATCAATCTTACTCATGGAAGGTCGGTGGTTCCACAGAGTGGCCGCTCGTACCTGAAATAATATACGGAGGGGTACCTAAGTTCTTCATCTCTATAAGGCTGGCAAATCACCAGTGTCGGTGTTACAAAACAATTAAACAATAAGACCTTATACTACCAGAGAATGATGCTACGGTATTATGGACGATCATAAAAAGATAACTTTTACCGTGAATGTTTTTGTCGGGAAACCAGCGAGAATAAGCACACATGTATGTTACATCGGCATGTTCATCCATACTCTCATTGTCATCAGAGAAGTACCTAAAAATAGAACAACTTAATACAAAACGTACATGTGAAAGAATGCCCGAACGCCAAACTCGAAATAATTGCATGCAATAATTACAGAATATAGTATATAAGATCAAAAATAGGCGGCATTCGATGAACACAGCCCCGCAGAATTGACATTGATAGATCTAGTTAGAACATACAAATCTCAGTTCTTAACAAATTTGTGTATAATCACTCAAATAAAGGTTTGAATGTGTACGGGCATTGTTGGAAGAACTATATTGTAAAGGTAATGCATGAAGTTATATCAATTTGAATGCACGGACAATCGACTAATTTTATGCGGATTACGTATAAAACAATGGTTGGATGCAGTTTTTGTTTCACAGGAAACAAATTAACAAAATCAACGTGTTATTTTAGGCTTTTCATCCACAGAATTGTTCTTGTTTTCCTTCTTTACTTTATGTCTTATATTATATACTTATAATAGATATATATGGTTTATGAAAGTGGATAGCACTGATACTGAATCGGTCATCATTCATGTCTTTTAATACTTACATGATCTTATCAAAGATTTAAACGTCCCGGGATATGTTATCTAATACTAATACAATCAATACACATAGTATCCACTTTAATCTACAAAATTTGAATCATCACAAAGTTCAGTTGAACGAAACATTCTGTACAATTTCACTTTCAATGTGGACGAGTGACTTGACAATGGTCAAATTTTAATTTTATCGAAATAATAATTATTTTACAGTAATGAGACTACATTGCAATCTTTGATGATTTGATTATGACAATCATAGGTACATCAACCCTTATAAAAATAAATGTATTAAATAAACTTGTCTATCCTTTAATCTAAATAAAACCATTTATCATTATTAGGCAAAATTTCAAAATTTGTAGCGGCTGATTAATGCGAACACTGCAGGTCATCGGATGACTTTGGTCTGACCTGGTTGCATGGGTATATGTAGTTGCCACCAGTAGTATATTGTCGTAACATAATATGTCCCCATTTAGAAACCATTCACAGGCATATAATACGATTTTTGACAGATACATTTATCATACATTGTAAATTAGGTAAGCAGCTACTATTAAAACAAATTAGTTGAATTAACCTTTTGATTTGCTATATTATATAAACAAATATAACAATATATAAACACAACATACTAGTATATAAATAATTATACTACCCATCAGACATTAGTCCGATTGTCAATCAAATTCTTTTCAGCAACATTCCATCTTCATAAGTGACGCTCTTGTTACAGTAATCAAATTGAACTTGTTACAGTAATTAAATTGAACCACTTCATATCAAAATCTGAATATAAGTCTGGTATATTAAAGGTATAATTAATGAAAACAGTTTACACTATTTACACAGTATCACTTTTTTGAAATTAAACACTCCAACTATGATAATAACAAATACAATTACTATATAACAAAGACACACAATCAGTTATTTAGTGCTTTAAAAACATATACATTATAATTTGGACCCATATCAAGAATATTGCAACTACTTAAAAAATCCATTGATTTTATATTATACTATTGACTACTTTACATATAAGGACGCCAATAGATAAAATGATGATTATTTTTAAAAATCTTTTAACGTGACGAAAACATGCGGTTCTCATCATTATGTGAAGACAACAGATTTTATCATAGATTATGTAATACAAAAACAAACCTTCAAGACAGAAACAAATCAAAACAATGTTTGTAAAACTTGGAACGTTTTCATAACTTTATTTATAAATTTGGTCTCCTTGTTTCAATAATAATACGATCCAGTGCATATTGATTATTTTGATTGATCTGTATTGAAAAAGGTATCTAAAACGACATGGATGTGCATTTATCATGATTTCAAATTATAAACGATTGATTGTGTTGATTAATTGTGTAACAGACAGATACTAGTGTGTTTTTTGTTAATGAAATTTTATCAATGTCATTAACAATATATCCGATTAAAGTAAAACTCTTGACTCAAATAGTAAATTGATTTTATATTTTGTTAATAAATATCTAAACTTAAAAATAAATAATAAATTATTTGACACGGTAAAGGATTAAGTGTAAAGCACACGTATGTGTATGTGATGTAGTAAAATGATGGCACCATGCGATCTGTGCAGACCAAGATCAACCCACTAATCCGTGCCGTTTGATCATGGTCTGCACTGTTCGCTATTCAGACAGGGCTTCTTTTAAATTTATTTTTAAATTTTCCTTTAAATAGTTAGCGGTTTTGTACAGATTGGAATTTGACATGTCCATTTTAGATGTTTTGTATGTTATTTTATTTATTTTTTCGTTTCCACCAACTCGAACCATCCGTAAATTATGAGATCGTGATGTAATGTGGATAAAAATCTTTTTTCAAATATGTTTTCTTTTTCCATATCTAATATAGGGTTATCATATAAACAACACACTTCTGATGAACTCAATATTTCAAATAGAATTTTAAATAATTTATTAGTATTGTTCTCTTCAAGTATTTGTGCACGTGATGTCCATTATCATATTGTGCGAGTTAGAATAATATTCTGCTGTTTGGGTTTTTTTCCATATTCATGTCACTCTAAATCACATTGTGTTCATTAAACTGAAAAGTGGTTATTACTTTATTAACAATAAATTACGCATTTTGTTGTTGTCAATGTCATCCCTTTCATTTACAAGTGTTAAGAAAGTCATCTTGTAAAACACACAAGTGTATTTCCAATTGTATCTTTGTTTCACTTTCACATTCTTCTTTCAAAATTGTATCACAACTTCATTATACACTGTGTGTTATTACTTTGAGTTGTATATAGTGGTAAATTGATGGTAAGAGAAAAATTATTTGATACACGAAAAACAATAGTCACAAGTCCGCCTCCATAAGCCGATTATTTGTGTTGTCTATGTGCATTCCAGTTATCAGTTATATTTATATATTTATCGAAACAAATATTTACGTCCACATGACGTTTTTTCTATATCTTTATAATCATTGACAAGTATTGACAATTGAAAAGACGATAGTATCAACATAACACATGTAATGACAATAAAACGGGGTTGAACTCAATATGGATCTTAAAAATTGAGCATCTGTAAAAAAAATGTCAATTTCAGTTGATTCAGATGTGTGCTATAAGCACCAATGTGAACGCGAAAGTAAGTCAATCAGAGGGAGAGAGTTTTCATCTTTTTTTTAAAAAGCATTTTTATAAAATTCAAAGCCTTTTTGAAGTCCCTAATCTAGTGGGTGTGTTTTGAGGCTTTAGATTTTGTATCACGTTTACCTCTAAAAAGTGCTTGACCTGGAGTCGTCAACAATCTTTACAGGAATGATAATATCCTTCCGTCGTTGGTTAACATGTATATGAAAACAGACTTAAAAAAGACGAAATAGCCGCTACAATTATTTCATCTATTTTCTCATTGATTGTCATGCAGGTAAATCTCTTTATGTAAAATATCACCACCGCCATCATCATCATCATCATCATCAACAACAACAACAAAACCCAAAATGCAAAACAAGCAAACAAAAAAAAAATGAATAAATAAATAAATAAATAAATAAATAAAATGAAAAAAGTAGAAAAAGAAAACATCGGTTCACAGAGGATATAGTTTCGAGTAAATAATTCAAATGAATATTGAATGCAATAAATGTGAATTACATTCTGCACAAGAACTGATCATTTTTTTAGCAGAAATGCGTTAATTGGGATTTGTTTATTTTAAGCTTCTTTCGACTTTACGGCCGAATAACTGCTTAAATTTAAAAGGGATTAGTACTAAATGTCTTACGAGTATTGTTTAAAACTTTCCTTAGCAAAACTATAATTAACTATAATTATATATATTATATATTATATGTATATATTAATAATTCAAAAATAAGCTGCTTAGCATTGTTTGATGTCTAATTATAGAACATAATCGTAAAATGTTCGCTTACATATGGATCTTCTTATTAGTAAACAATATTATTTGACATAGATTTCATGTCTTAACTGAAAACCTTTGATATAATGGGCGTTATTACTTCCAAATAACTATCTTAATCGGCAAATGTAATTTACGTGTTATTGAACATGAATTTCAGAATAAAATACAAACAATGCTTCATTAAAGTGATCCGTAAAATATGTTGATCGATCAAAAAAATTTGATTTCATGAAAATTTATGCATGTTGTATAAATAATTTCGACTTTTAATAGTGACTAGTATTACTAACTTAAACCTCTTGTACTCATGTACTACGTGTATGTTAAAATTTGAAGACTTGACAAAAGATATCTGAAGCTGTTTTACAATTATGTCGGATAATTTAATCACCTATTCTTAAGGATAATTGAGCTGCGTCACGACAAAACCAACGTAATGTGTTTGCGATCAGCATGGATCCAGACCAGCCTGCGCATTCGCGCAGTCTGATCAGGATCCATGCTAATCGCTTACCAACTCTATTAAAAGTAGGGAAACTGATAGCTAACAGCATGGATCCTGATCAGACTGCGCGGATGCGCAGGCTGGTATGGATCCATGCTGGTCGCAAACCCATTATGTTAGTTTTGTCGTGACGCGGCTCATTTAATTGTATAGTAAACAATGACTCATCCATATATTGCACCATTCTTGTTGAAATATAGTTTTATAAACACGTGTTATTAGTTTCCGAATTATCATATGAAAAACCTTTCACTAAACGGACATTGTATTAACATGTTAAGGTAAACAAAAAACAAAATTGTTTCACGTTTTAAATCTTGGAATCCCGTTAAACTATTAATAGTTAGATACATGTTTGTTTATTTATAGAATATCAAGCGAATATGCGTATTTTAAAATTGAAAAAATCCAAGTAATATATATAAATATATTTTCAGAAATAAATTAGATTTTACTTAAACATGAATTTTATATTTTTTGAAAATGGTTTAAAAAACGTTAGATGCTTGTTACCTGAAAAAAAAGTAGCGATAAATGCGAAATATTTTTTTTATAAAAGTAGCAACATGTAAAAAAGTAGTATTTTGACTTCCATACAAAATACTAATTCACAATAAGTAATAGTTATATTATATAAAACGAGTTAGTTACGAGGATATAGCGATATTAAGGGATGTTTCTGCCTTTGCCCCAGCAACTAACAAGTTTTTCATAAATTATAACTGTTTTATCGAAATTTCATAATTTTCTTGCAATAGAAATCAGCACCCCCCCCCCCCAAAAAAAGACAAAAACAAACAAACAAATAAAATAGGGCTCTTTTGTGCCTTTTCACTTTTGTTTCAAATGGAAACCGCAGATAAAATGAACCAATACCATCTAATGCTCTAATGCTGTCGTAAGCAACCTTACAGCTATTAATAATAAGACAGTTGTTTGATGTTGTTTTCGTTGCCGCAAAAAAGGAGGAAGTAGTGTGGATTCTAGATTAAAGATGTACCAGTTGTATATTTGAAAATAAATTAAATAAATAAATTTCATTGATTATCTTTGTTTATATTATTCGGAATGTTACTTACCGCTGCCCCATTAGAGGCTCTGTGGGAAAAAACAGCTGATGCTGTATACAAAGTACGAAAAAACTCAACTGTTATATATTAGCTGAGTTTTCTTTTACTATATAAATATATGATAAAACTGCACTGTTTTATATCAATACAGTTTTCAAATGCTCAGAAAGAAAGAAAAGCAACTTTGAAACCATGCGATAATTGTATCTATAGCCAGAAAACAACATATGAAAAAGATGGCTCTGGTAATTGGCCAAAGAATAACTTTTTTGGTTACTATAAAAATACACCCAAATTAAAAAGCTTTTGAGAAATAAAAATAAAAGGATTTCTGAGAGAAAAAAGGCCGTTAAAATCATTCATGATAAAATGATACAGAATAAAATCATTATCAATTTTAAATAATAAATTAATGTAACATTATTTCATAACACGAAGTACCTTTTAAAAAGATACTCGGCCGAAGTAATACTGTTTAACATGCGAAAGTATATTATTTTTAAGTTTTCAATACAAAAAGAAATGTTGGCAATGCTTGCACAACAATGACATGATAATTATTTCTTGTAGCTATTAAGAAAATACCCATTTTGTAAAAATTGAAATTAAATTATAGCATATTGATATTGATGATTTTTCAAAGAAAAACAACTTCCATTTAAGGTGTCATTTTAACTTGTTTGACTTTATAAATTTTGTAATCATTTACAAATTAACCTAAAAGTTAAAGACCTATCATCATTCCTGTACATTTTATAGTTTAGAACTATCCTTTACATTTTATTTTATATTGATAGTGACAAAACTATCCCTTACATTTTATCATAATTTCATTTTAGAATAGTAAGAACTATCCTTTTTTTAGAATGTATAGAACTAACCTACGAGAAACACGGATTTCAGTTTGTAATTTTATTATGACCAATGAAAATTCTTCTTATATTCAGTCCGTCCCTGTTAATTTTACAGGAAGTCAAACCGATAACAGACGGACTTCGTCCGAAAAAAATCTTCTTAAGCAACCATTTGAGCCCGCACAGTTCCTTTAATTTGTGCTCTACAAATAGCACACTTAGAAAGTGCAGGGATACACTGAGAACAACAGGCCAAGTGGCCACACGGTAATGTAATTATACTGGCAATAGCATCAAAGCATATTTTACAAGTTACTGGCTCTTTCAATTGTCTGTTAGCTTCTTCAATATCCCTATATGTCTCGGACTCACTATCGTCTGATTCTGCTTCTAACTCTCGCTTTTCTTTTATTTCTTCTACAACTTTAACAAGATCAACAGCAGAAAAATTTCTTAATATATCTTTCTTTATCAAAGATTTAATAGCCGTATTGATGATATCCTCATTTGAACAATACAGTCTAGCTACACTCACAGCATCCTCGTTCCTTTTCATAGCCAGTTGTACGGTGTCAACTACACCGTCAGTACCACAGGCACCTTCATCAGAATATTCATCACTTTCATCCATAATCCAATTAACATATCCTTTTCCTTTACATTGAATGACATGTCCGCACGTGGGGCTTGCCAAAACGTGTTGTTTCCAAGGGCACGCCCCTTCAGGCCAATCCTTAAGTCCTATTCCGCAATAAAAACATCTCACAGAGTCACACACTCCCGTATATGCAAATCCGGCTTCTGATAATTGATCAATTGTTGGTACTTTCATGGTTCCAAGCCAGTTTTTATAAGACAACTTTCTTGATGCTAAACAGGCATATTGTTTGTGTTTAGGCTTATCAGTTATAATTCCAAGGATTTCACATTGAGATTTATGTCCTGCCTTTTGAAGCTGTGCATTATTTTTGAAACCTGCAGCAGTATGATCTGTTAAACCACTTTCGTTCAACTGTAAGCGTTTACGAAAATAATCCTTAACTCTCGAAAAATCAGTTGTTGCCATTAAATGAATATATCTGTTACTTACAACCTCTGTAAAGTTATGACGTATTGTAAAATGTTCAACCTATATATCGTTCTGTACTTTTAGAATTTTATGTAAGGGATCCCAAAGAGAATTGCGAAATATGTAAACAATACTCACTGTTTATCTTAATTTCGAGCTATTTTTAAACTTCAATTTTCCAATGAAATGATACATATATAACGGTGTTAAAGGGATTGTTATCAATACTTTTTCGTAGCTGAAATTTTTCTTGAAATTTATATTTTAAATCAGATAAATTCTTTTTATAAAACATTTTCGGATATATCAAAGTTATATTATGCTCAAATTTAATATTTGAAAAAAAAAAAACCCAAAAAACTTATAATTACTTAACAGTCTCTTTTGAAATATAAAATAAACATTTTTGCAATACACATTGACAATATACGTTACGTTTTAAACTCTACACACTGGCAGAATCGACCAAATTAAGTTGACATAATGAATGCATCTTCCCAAACACAGTTTATACATTAATGTATCCAAATAAGACAAATTTAGGAAGAATTTACCGGATGTAAATAAATTTCTGCTATAAAATTATTTTACCCAAAGATGAGCATAGTGTATCTTTAGGCAAAAGTGTCGTGTTGTCATGAACCTAGTAGTAAAATCAAAATTTGTAATTCAGTTTTAAAGTACTGTTCAATAATAAAGTGTCTTAAAAATAAACCATATGGCATAATGCGAGAATACATTTTAAATATATACGCAGTACGTTATAAGGTTTTCTTAATACAGTTATAAATACATTATGAAAACTACAGTTTATTTATATTTAACCACGTACTCCATAGTTTGTACTTGTTTTCGGACACATTCTTGAACTTATTACAATGATAACACATTTGTTGTAAACAAGTTCGGGTTTATTTTCATTAAAAACTAACTTTTCATTACTAGTTTCTTTATTTGTCTTGGTTTGTAAGAAAAACTGCAGTTTTTTAATTATATCATCCTGTTTAAAAGTAAATAACCCCTTTTTTGCAGAAAAAAAGAACGATTACGTTTTATTATGAAATGCATTGACACCACAGTAGTTATAATGTATGTAATAACTTTCTATTACATGCAAATATGATCAATGAAACATGGCTTAAAATAGATCAAACGTATTTAACTTTATCATGACATTACATTGATTTGTGTTGATAAAGTGCGTGCCTGATATATTTAGACACCTCATCAATACATATTGAAATAACACGAAGATAATAGAATATTTAAACTCTTACTTGTTTGAAAACATCAAATTGATAAACTTTGTTAAACTGATAAATTTTGAATCGACTAGAATTTATAAATATTAATATCTCTCTTATAGAACAGAACAGAATAGAACAAATATTTAATTTGAAAAAATAAAAAACCCACAAAAAACCAACATATTCTTGGTATGACATGGAAAAATACATGCATTTGACTCAAAACATTTGCGACTTTTTGTTATAGATATGACCCTTGGCATATATTACTGCGCGCGGCATGAACTTGAGAAGTTCTTTACAGGTTTTTTGTTTCATTTTGAAATTTAAACAAGTTAAATGTTGATGTTGCACATCAAAGACGCCGCCAAATGATGTGAACAGTCAATCAGCATTGAAAATCGTTCCCTATTACACTATCAATACAATGATTCTATTACACTTTAAACAGTCTTTGTTTTGGGAATCTCATAAATAGGATATTATATTTGTGTAGGTTCATTATTGAATGTATTGAACTCCTTGAATAAAATAATATAATGCCTGCCAGAGGCATGAAATAATTCATATAAAAATCAGTATTGAACCTATATTCATTCAATATGCTCTATAGAAATATCGTCAGAAAGGCACCCGTGTAGAATGTGTTTGATTACGAAAAGTACATGGATATCTGCACATATTCTAAAAATGTGACAAAATTCGTAGAATTTCACAGAATTATTTTTCATGATTTGATGACGTTATGAATGAGAGTGAGTGCATATCGTTACGCGGCAAAAATGTAAAAAAAATGACTTAAATGACATGAAATAGAAGTCGATTTTTTTTTGGTTTTGTATGTAAGATCAGGTGTATGTCTATGCTTATTGAGGGTCCATCCACACGTTAAGACACAAAAAACGGCTTTCGTTGTCGAGTACGGAAATAGGACATGTCACCAGTAAGGCCCTTAAAGACTCAATTTTGCAGCACCCGTTAAATGATCTTAGAGTATTAGCAAATGAAATGAATTTTTGAGCCTGTTAACACCTAAACGTACAGTAAACAGTGACAATAATGAAGAGGGAAGTTTGTGCCAGCAAGGAACGCCGCCGTTCAAGTCTTCTTTTCGGAATAGGAGTTCACGCACCCTAGTACCAATCCTCGTTGTCACTGCCACGTTTAAGTTCCTCTTCCCTAGGTTTCAGTCAGGAAATCGGCAGCTAACCTCATACATACTTAGTTGTGCCACCTTAAATGTTAGATGAGTTGTAGAAAGCCAATTTTGCTATCTTATACGTTACAGTGGATCTTCAATCGTCTGCCGATGCCCCGTGTGCTCGTAACGATGGGAAAAGAGAAGTGAAAACCAATTAGTGGCTACACCACTCGTGAAAATATTACATCTGATGTACATTCTGTGAAATTTATTTCGATCAAATATCCCCTCTCTATATAGATATGCGTACTATTTATAACAATGTGTAATATTTGTTCAGGGTTGTACTTGTTAATCTTAAACGGTACAAAGAACGTCTGATAAGAGGTAAAGAATTTGTTTCAATTTAATTTAATTCAAACGTTTACTGTATAGAACAATATTTGCATCATTTATTTAATTGAACTGCATATGTGCAATATACATAAAGATTGTTTATAGTTCGTGCACAAATGTACTACCAATCTAAAAAAATACTTATAAGTTTCATCTCAAGAAACTTTAATGTGATCTTCAAAATTCTGTCAAATTTAATCTAAAATTTTGTATAAGTTTATGTTGAACAAAAAATGCGCTTATGCTGTGCACACATATCTCGGAAAGTGCATTTGTGCTGTGGCACGTGCTAACCGCTTTTTCTTATGTCACGGAGCACATTCATATTTAACATTATTGCTTTTCACAGATATTGATTAATTTATGCTAATATTGGATCAGTTATAGATCAATATGTTGGCCACAAAATGTGTGTTATTGTAAAAGCTTCGCGAAACACCAATTACCTTATATTTTATTATGTTTGTAGGTTAACTTAGGTAAATTCGTAAATGCTACATTTTCTTCAAAGTGTTTTGTTCCATCAGAATCTGTCATTTACAGGTAATCTAACACCACAATATCTTGTTACATGATGCGTTGATAAAATTAATGGGATTAAACGCTATTCAGTATTGTAAAAAATATAAAATATGTGTATATAGAATCTGATAAAGTAAGCATTAATATTGTCTGTCATGTGATACATTAATACCGGTATAGGTAGCTATGTAATATCAAAAATAATACACTTATTTATTAATTACATCTGTATTGTATTTTTATAAATTTTGACCGAAATATGGATACATATGATATCAAGCAGAACTTTTAAAACAATTGTCTTACATCATATGTCATGATAATAATGGTCATTTTTTTATTTGGTTTTACATCGCACCAACACAGAATAGGTATTATGGCGACTTACAAGCTTTACTGGTCGAGAAAGAGCTCAGGTGCCCCTCTATACATTATTTCAGGCAGGCACAAACGGACACCAGAGTAGAACCACCGACGTTCCGTATGCTAGCTGAATAGCTTTCTCACATTTGTGCGGCTAAAACTTACTGTGGTGAGAGGCATGTGGTGTGAAGTCAATGACCTTGACAATTCGGCCACGGACACCTCTAAATGACTTTACATTACTTCTAATATTGACATGTTGTAAAATTCTTAAGAAGGAAAAACTACAGTTCAGTAGGATTTTAGTAAAGCACGCACTTTGTCATATATCGAGTTCCAGACTTTACTGTTTTTTTTTTCAGGCACGAACGTGCACTTGAGTAGAACCAACGGTCTTCTTTGAGCAAACTGAATAGTTTCGTCGTATAAAACAAACACAAGTATCAAAGCGGGATTTAAAAATTAACTGTGGTTAGGTGCACCGACCTTAAAGCATAGAACTGAAATGACCCTATACACCATATGGTATGAAATCACATTTGAAACAAGACTGGTCAGCTTAACATTGGCTAACTTGGCAAAATATCCAGTGAACTTCTGCGTTTTCCCCCATTAATACTTCTGTCCTGTGTCAATATCTGCTGATGTTATAAATGATAAAATGTATTTTGTTTCTATCTTCAGTTTTATTTTTAGTTATCTTTAAATTAAATATAAAAAAGGAAACATTTAGTTTGACGAAAACGTTAACGTCAAAAATAAAGTTGTTAACAAAACCCAAGTCAATTATTGTATCCTATTCATTTGTTATTGAATGCATAACATTATCGGCTGAATAAACAACAATGGAATTTCTGAAGAGTTCGTCGATTCAACACCAATCCTTTACAATCAAATATCGCATTGATTACGACGTTTTGATAAATGCACCTTTTGAGATAAATATCGTAAAGTCATATAAATCTTACTGCAAAAAGCGAAAAGTAAAAAAAAATAATAATAAGAAACAGTCGTTAAAAAATAAAACAGCCATATAACACAACAAGATGTTCTATACAAGAAAACTTTGTATTTGGTTTATACAGTATATAGTTTAGTTCGATTGTGTAAGAAGCTATAAGCTTATAGACACACTTTCAAGTCCGTTCCTGGAACCAACCAAAACTGAGCAATGAGTGTAAAGTTTCTTGCTCAATAAAACAACCACTTGCCACTTGCCACTGACGGGGTTTGAACTCATGCGGCTAGCGATCATGAGATTACTAGTCCGACGCGTTCACCACACTTTGTATTTATACATGTACATAATAAGGATTTTGACACAACTCCTGGGCGCCCTGCTGTGGTGGCTTGGGTGTGTCGGGGGCTGCGTCCTGTGAACCTTGCCTTTACCTTG